ACTGTTCTGGCATGTTCTGGCTGCATCAAATGTCACGGTGCTGATTTCAAAGAAATGAGATCCCGGGAAAACGAGTTTACCTTTAGTGTAAACATAATGTACTTGTTACACGCTTGGGGGAACATGGAAATGGACAAAGCTCACTTGTATGCGAGGGATTAAATCTATTAAGTAAAAGCTACTCTAATACGGGGTGTTAACAGGACCTGAATCTAGTTCCAAACACATGATGCAAATGTGTCTATACATAATCCAGACAGTCACTAGAAAAGGACACCTGATGAAATGTGAAGCGCATGTTTTTCAATGAAGAGGTTTAGGTTCCACGTTCTAACGGAGTCTCCCTCCCGCCGTGCCGCAGGGCCACTTCGGCAAGGTGGAGCTGTGTATGTATGACCCGCGGGGCGACCGCACCGGCGAGCTGGTAGCTGTGAAGTCCTTGAAGCCCGAGAACAAGGAGGACCAGAGCAGCAGCCTCTGGCGTGAGATCGACATCCTGAAGGATCTCTACCACAAAAATATCGTCAAGTACAAAGGCATCTGCAGTGAAGAGGGTAACAAGATCCAGCTTGATCTTTCTACAGATTTTTTAACCTCATTAATGTAGAAAGGCAGCCCTGCTTGTTTGCTTCTCGTCTACATCAGCTTACAAGTCTTACCTATTTATAAAGCTAGATATTATCACTTGGGCAATTCAGGCTAAGTACAGTGTTCTCTGGGTTGGGGTACCCACAGGTACCCAACGGGTAATCCGAAAGTTTTGGTGGAACGTATGAAAAATATCCTAAAATCTAAAATTTGTGGGTAAGGGTGCGGGGGGAAATTAATAGGGCATAGATCGACCACAGTTTTAAATGGCAAACACGTATTTTAAAAATAAGTAGGCTATAATTTTATATACATTTTTGAAAACGTAAAATGCACGTCCACAATTGGGTTCCTGAACCCCTGCAGGACTGTCACGGGTTGGTCTGCTTCACTCCCTGTTGCTCAGATATCTCACATCTCTACCTTATTTACAAGAACGCAAAATAATTTGATATAAGCAGCAGTACTTTTAAACTTCAGCTGATAACATTCCGTGTCCTCCTCCTGTCACGCATACAGAAGGAAAAGTTAAATTGAGCGAGTATTTAGCACTGGCCCTGTCGCTGTGGTCTGTCTAGGTGGGAGAAGCATACGGCTGATCATGGAATACCTACCTTCGGGAAGCCTGAAGGAGTACCTTCCCCGCAAGAAGGCCCAGATGGACTTGAAGAGGCTGATAAGTTATGGAACTCAAATATGCCAGGTATGTCATGGCAGGCAGCAAACATGGTAGCAGCCCTTCCTGGATTTGTACTTTGGCTGCGCGAGGTGATGGAAAGCATGCATTCATGAAGCAGTCTTGTTCTCTCATTCCAGGGAATGGACTATCTGGGGTCTCTGAACTACATCCACAGAGACCTAGCTGCTCGAAACGTGCTGGTAGAGAATGAGGAAACTGTCAAGATCGGAGACTTTGGGCTGACCAAGAGCATCAAGGACAACGAGGGCTACTACACCGTGAAGGACGACTTGGACAGTCCCGTCTTCTGGTAGGAGTCCAGTAGCATGAAAGGCCATAGTCAAGGATTACCGTGGGTGACCTAGTGGTCTATAATGCTGGGTCAATAGCTGTAAATGACTTCAGCTGTAACTAAAGGCCAGGACCAGTGAGGGATATCGTTGTAAGTGAAGCGCCGGTAACTATAGGTGGCCTCATTGAGAATATTAGGTGCCAGTACCAGAGGGTGGCTCAGAAACTGATCTTGGTGAGAACGAGAGAGGTCAGTGGCCTCATTGGAAGCCGGGGTCACAAACTGCCAGAGACCTCAATGAGAAAATCACAGCAGTCTTACCGAGCCGGTTTGGGCTGTGGCAGTTTGTGAACTTGATTTAATAATAGACTGCCAGAAGAAAAAAGGAGGATAATGAAAAACACTATTCTGGATTGTAAATGCGAGAGCAGTTGGATATTGATCTGGGCTGATGTCATCCTGCTCAGCACAAACCACCACTTCTAACAACTGTGAGAAAACCACCAAGATATCTGCCACCCCGGGTGGACGGTGCATTAAGTGAACTTCTGGCTGCGTGGTTTTTCCTCCAGGTACGCCCCGGAGTGCTTATTGCACTGCAAGTTCTACCGCGCCTCAGACGTCTGGTCTTTTGGGGTGACCATGTACGAGCTGCTGACCTACTGTGAGCCAGAGAAAAGTCCTATGCAGGTAGGCAACTCCTTAAAAACCCACCTGCGCACGTCTGCCACAGAAACTCTTTCTGACAGTGGGGGCATCGTCACATAATACTGATGAAGTAAAGGAACAACGTTAACATAATGATATATGGTGGTGAACTGTATTATGTCAACAAATCAAACTCACCCACTGCAGCTCTGGTATTCACTGCCTACACACTAATGCAAACCAGCCCAGTTTCTGCAGTTCCTCTAGCATTTAGCCATGAAGCGGCATTTCTGACCCTCCCACCCTTTGTCTTCGCAGGTGTTCTTGAACATGATTGGGCGAACCCAAGGTCAGATGACTGTCACCAGGCTGGTGAAAATTCTGGAGGAGGGGAAGAGACTACCTTGTCCACCAAACTGCCCAGAAAAAGTGAGTGTAGCCCCAAGCACAAAACCAACACTGTATGTCTTTAGAAAACCTCTAATTCAAATTCCACTCCTAAGATATTTTTAAAGGACATTTTAAAAGTATTAACTGTATAAGTTCTCCTATCACACAAAGTCCACAGTAAGGCTCCATTAAGCGGCTCCGGTCTGGCTTTCAATGCAGGTCTATACTCTGTTGACGAAGTGCTGGAAAAGTGCCCCAGAGGAGCGGATCGACTTTAAGGGTCTGATCAAGGAGTTCGAGAAGGTGCCCTGACTTGCCCACAGGATTGACGTGGGAAAGCATCTATTTTAAAATGATTTTTTTTGTCTTTATCAATGTTTAAAGTCTCAGGAAGACTAGAAATTGTTACATTTAGCTGATGAGCATCGGAAGTGCCAGTGAATAAAATTGTAAATAGATCCACAAGTATAGTATTTCATTTTTTTTGTTTAAACTTCAGCAACCTTCAAAGCAGGAAACCTTTTGTGCAATCTATAATCATTGGCATTAATCCATTTTTACGTGGCATCACAGAATATCATTTAAATATATTATATAATAAATGAAAGGTCTGTGTGTCATTCTCTGTCAAACTCATTAAACTGCTTAATTTGCTTCTGAATAATTGTTTCTCAGCTGTGGATGAACCATCAACAGCACTTAGTGCCCCCACATAGCCACGGTTCATCTGTTCTGGAAAATTTATCTGGAAATACCAGACCCAGGAATGGAATGACCTTGGCAAACAGCACTTGTATTTCCAAGAATTCCAACCTGTCTCAAAGTATTATAGATTTAAAAGATAAAAGATCCAAAGAAGATACAGTTGAGACAACAGATTAAAAAAATAATTTAAAAAAAGACTTTTTTTATACTGCAAGGTCTGAAGACCTGAATATCTTAGAGAAATCCTTATAGTTATTTACACTGTACTGTTTTCAGCTTAGAAAAAAGAAAAAAAAAAAGTCTGAAAGTATCACTATATCATATGACATGTACTACATGATATTTTAAAGTAGGACAGATGGCACACTCATGCTGATGTTAAGCCTGGGAGAGACGTTAACAAGCAGATGTGACAAATATGAGCTACGCACACTGTAAGGCGTCCGATCAGACAATGATCCACAGGCGACAAATCAAGAGTTTATGTAAAAACGAGCTGCAGATGATCTGTCATTGGCTAAGTAAACAGAATGCTTACTTTAAGCTTAAAAATGTTTAATTTGAGAGGTGCTTCATGTAAATAAACTTTTAAATAAACTTTTAATAAAATCCAACTGTCCTCAATTAATTGGTATGCTTTGAATCAGAACTACGAACAACCTAAAATTTCACACGTGTTCACAAAAAAAACAGAAAAGAAAACATCTAATGTGAAAACAGTAAAACTCTTGGCAGAACTTGATGTTCATTCAGTTATCCTACAGAACTGGAATTCTTTATGCAAAAAGCTTGAGGCACAGGACCAATACAGTACTGATGAGGTAAACATACATGCATTCAACATGGAATATTGATATTAACATGCTAAATGTGGATTCAACACAAAGAAATTGGATGAACAAGGGTGATACTGTAACAAAAATAAAGATGTTTCAAGAGACTATGGTTGTACTACAAACATTGTAAAATACAGTACATCCATCCATCTTCTGAAACCACTTATTATATTCAGGGTTGCAGGGGGTCTTTTGCCTATTTCGGAGCCTATGGGCACAAGGCAGGGAACAACCCAGAATGGGGTGCCAACCCATCACAGGGCACAAGGCAGGGAACAACCCAGGATGGGGCACCAACCCATCACAAAGCACAAAGCAGGGAACAACCCAGGATGGGGCACCAACCCATCACAGGGCACAAGGCAGGGAACAACCCAGAATGGGGCACCAACCCATCGCAGGGCACACACACACCAGTCACTCACACTTGCAGACGTATGGGCAATTTGATAAGTCCTATTAACCTCAGCATGTTTCTGTGGGGGGGAAACTGGAGCACGCAGTGGAAACCTCACGATGACACGGTGAGAACATGCAAACTTCCACACACATGGAGCCATGGTGGAGACCTGGAGGTCCCAGAGGAGCGAGGCGACAGTGCTAACCACTGCACCACTGTGCCACCCCCACTGTAAAATACACGTGCTAGACATCAAGCCAAATTACATTTCATGTGGATGTTCTGGGGGGGTGGGGGCAGCTAAATAATTATTCTAGAACCACAAAAAAAAAAAATCAGTATGGAAATTCTAGAATTAGCAGTAAGATGATCACTGCGTTGTTAAATGTTGGTCTTTAAGGCTTGGAGAAACTGATTATCTGTGGGATGGAGGACTCTTTCTATAAGAAAAAAAGGACTCAATACAATAGTACTGCATTTTTAATATAGTAAGATTACAAATGTGACTGGAGGTTTGAGCAGGTAGAAAATGCTCCATAGACATCAAATTGTATCACATTTTCAGATTTCAAACTCACCCAAAGCGAACTTGAGGATGTCACCAGAGAACCTCAATGCTAAAGTGCTGTAAAGACAGGCAGTCTGTCCCTTAGCAGGCAGGTTTATGGGGAAAACAGAGCTCCGAAGTCCCCACGGAACCATTACCTGTGAAGGTCCCCACTGAAGATGTTACCAATCCTGTTATTTCTTGGTCTTAGAACACCAGCTTCGAACGGAAGCAGACTTTCTCGATGCTCATCAAGTCTTGCGGCAGAGCAACGGCGTCATAATTATGTAGGAAACACATTAAAGGATTTTGTTCAAATATAATCCAAGACGGAAAATTGTCAAGGGATACCAGTGCTTTATAATTACATTAAATAATAAAAAAAAAAGTTACATTCTTATTAGGGACTTTTTATTTCCCATTAGGAAGAAAATGAAAACATTCCTGGGGAGAGGAAAGGACATGACACACATCCCACAGGAAGACTGCAGATTCACAAAAACAGAGAGAGCATTGTACAGTTATACACTATTAAACGTTAATGCGTGTAAAGAGGAGACCATGAGTAAGGCCTGGAGTAAGCAGAGGAAGCGAGTACCGGCAGCACTTGGATGGCTCAAGCTACCAGAAGGCTTGGCTATATCCTCTTCTTCTTGTGCTGGTCTGCATAGAGAGATCCCGAGGTCCGGGGGGGCTGTCCTACAAGGGGCCTGTCTGGAGGCCCTTCCTGCGGAGTCGGAAAGTCCCGCTTGAGTGCCCGTGTCTGGCTCTGGTTCTGGCAAAAGAGAGAGTGCATACACAGACACGCCGTTGGGAAAAATTGCACCATCTGAACGTTCCGTTTCATTATCTTTTATTTTTTTTTTTAATTGCTGCACTCTTTGAAGCCTGAAAGGTCTCATCTTAACACCAACTATGGCTAAGGAGGACAATTACATCGACTGAGACTGTGACCACAACTCGGAATCAATGAATCTGGAACTCATGGTGTATGAGACAGCTGTGAAGCCGCCCAAGGCTGTACTTACATAGTAGTACTGGCTCCAGTCTGCGGTACCCTGTGCCGAGTGGGATAACGCGACCGACGCCGGAGCGATGTGCTGAATGCCCCCGTAGGCTGGCATAACGGGCACAGCACTGTACGGGGCACCGCCGTTACCAACAGACTGCAGCGTGTTGGTCAGGGAGGTTTTGGAAAAATCAGCCTCCTGCGGAGAGAGGAGAGCAAGACCTCCGTTGCTGCTCCTGATCAGACTATGAAGATACTCATGAATCAAATCCAGCTGTGTGCTCACATACAGACACATACACGTTTAGTATTCATATCACCCTAATCCTAATCATGACAACCTTAACCCCTACATCCAGCCCTAACCTTTACCCATAAGGTATCCAAACAATACACAAAACTTTAGGCTATTTTAGTTTTTCGAGTGCAGTCAGATTTTTATATAATTGAATTTTCCGTTGTAGGGGTTGACAAACTGTCCCCACAAGGGCAAAATGACAGGTTTTTAATCACATTGTGGGGACACACGCATGCACACACACACAGACCGACACACAGAGACAGACAGGCACGCAGACTGACAGACACACGTGCAGACAGACAGAATTACCTTGGTGGTGTCCCTGTGAGGGAAGTCCTGCACGGACATGTGTGTGTGTGAGTAGCACTGACTGACGGTCTGCATATAGGCACCATAATCCCCGTACGACGTGGTGCCGACATCCTGGGGCAGCCATGAAACAAGACAAAGCTAGAGCTAAACGAGACGGAAACTCGGAAACATCGCGGAGTTATTTTATTAAAGACTAAGACATTTAAGAGCAATCATTTGAAGATCTCAATTTTTACCCCCCTGCCCGCCCAATGTTGAAAAATAACGGTGTAACTGTGATGTGTCGACGTATCCGATTTAAACAAAATAAACTTGGTGTTTTAAAATCACTGATTTTAAACTTGCATAAAACGAGAACTTGTACCGAGTTATAGTTACTGTTGAGATGTTAACCAATCCTATCATCATCAACTTACATTTAAACTGAAAAACTGGATTACTCTGTCAGTGGTAGAGATTCAAGGCTCCCTGAGAGCGGGTAAAGACATCATGTGCAGTTCTGCGTGGCCTGGAGGCTTGTGGGTTATTTTAGTGTAGTGGCCATGTGCACGGACGACCCCCAGGGCCCCCACCCTCTCCTGCGGCTTCCCATAGTCGCTGTCCTGGGGGGCACCACTGTAGGCCTGAGCTTGGTAGTTCTGGTACCACTGCTGAATGGCTTCCTACAGGACAGACCATACAATCAAAAACAGATATCATGCATAAAACATATAGATGTTCGGTGGTTTACGATGGTCCGGCTTACGATATTTCTACATTATGACGGTGCGATAGCGAAGCATAATGAGCAGTAAGTAAACTGAACTCTGATCTGCTCCCGGACTAGTGATATGCTGCATGGTATTTTCTGCTGATGCCAGGCCGCATCCGCCCTTGCAGTTTCTGTTCATACAGTGTTTAACAACGTATCGTACAGTGTTTAACAACGTATCGTACAGTGTTTAACAACGTATCGTACAGTGTTTTTTTCGCTGTTTGACCAAATACACTTGTATTCATTCACTTACTTTTTAAATCACTGGCATTTAGTTATTTGCAGTAATTATTTAGTTATTCAGTGACAGCAGTTATTCACGTACTTATCGCATTTGACTTCATGTTCATCAGAGCGTAACTCCACTGTAAGTCGAGAAGTGGCTGTATGTGTACGTGTATATATAAAGAGCACACACAGTAATTTATGTCAAACAAGAATCTCCGCTTGGAATCAATAAAGTTTCTTAGTCTTAATGAAAAAAACATACTAACCCCATTACTGTTTCAGCATGGGGTGGGGGACCATTACAGGAAAAGGACGGAGGGCTGGTAGGCAGCACGCAGGGGGCTGGTTCCGGGCAGGCCTGGGAGCCCCCCCACCCCCCTGGCGTGTGTGCCACTCAGAACTGAGTCACAGCCACAGTACGTCAAGCGCAGCGCCAGCCAGGCAGCATGCGGGGTGCTCAGCCGGGAACGTCCCACGTATCTCGCCACCGGGGGCCCAGATGGGACGCGCCCCCCCTCTGCAGTGCTAATTCTGTACTGCACAGCCCACTGACACAACGTTTATAAGAGCATACAGTCATGGCACATGCCTGAGGGGGAGTATCGGGGGGGGGAAAAACAAAAAAACACACACACACACACACACACACACACACACACACACACGTCTGTCATGCTTTTTAAAGGCAGGTGGAACCGGGCTCCTATAAAGACACTCAGGGTTACACACAGCAGACAGAGAGGGGCGCTAGACCAGCCCACAGTGGTGCATGCTGGGATGGAGGCACAGTCACCTGGGAGTACTGCGGACCGTACTGTGACATGTAGTCCATGGGGGTGTCGTACAGGGCCGTCGAGAGCGGCGGGGCAAGTTTGGGTGCTAGTGCCAGCCCCCCAGCGAACGCATTGCCTTGAAGCGCTACGCTCGCTGCTTTACCGCTGGCGGGGGCTGGGTAGGGGGGAAAAAATAAATAAAGGTACAATTGAGTGCTGTTGAAAGCTGACCATCCCCCCCCCCCCCCACCCTGCGCCAGTTCAGAACAGAACCTGGTCTTTCTCAGCTACTGCAAACCTTTAAACAAGCTTCCCCCATGAGTGCGGATAGTGCAGTAAGAATGCAGTGTATGCACATACATGTCATTGGGGCCTTGTGGGGGGGGGGTACCTTGCAGGATGATGCCTGGCAGTACACTGGCCAGGTTCAGGTACGGGTTGGTGGGGATCTTCAGTTCCTTAGGAGGTTCCCCCAGCAGCGAGGTATGGTTGGCGGACAGAGCCTGAAGGGGGGCGGGAGCGACAGAGACTCAGCCGCTAGCCTGACACACGGACGCACCATTAATTTATCCTTAATGAGTCCACTGAGGACGACAGTTGTCATTAAATATGCGCGCCCCCCCCCCCCCATTCTCCCCCAAGGCCATTTTGGGAACAAATTATAACTTAAATTTTAATGAAAACCACATCAGTGGAGCGAACAACAGCGAGCGCATAGAACAGACAACATGACTGTCACTTGTCACAAGTTAAACATTTATCACAAAGGAAAGCGGCGGCTTCTGGATATCGTGCATTAAGTCAGGTAGGATCCCTGTCACCACCAGCCGCTAACCTCTCCCTGCCCTCTATGGGACCGTGAATAATCCAACAAGGTCAAAGTTACACCGACCTAGAAAACGTGACACGCTAACCCAGTTAAAGTAGCACGATTAAGGACGTCGACCCTGTACCCCGAAGGTGGCTCGCTCACACCCCTGGAGGACCCTGCAGTTATACCCTTGAGCAAGGTCCTTAACCTGAATTACTTCAGCAGACTATCCATCTATATAAACTAGTAAAAATCCTCTTTGCATAAAATCATCCAAGAACCTACATGTTAAGAAGTAACATTTATTCCCAACATCACTGCAGTAAATGTGCTTCATCAGTAGCTCTGATTAAAAAATATATATATTTAAAATATCAGTAAATTTCCATTGTATTTAAATTTCCATTTTGTGAAACACACACGGCTTGTGTTTTGCATCTAAATCACTGGTGCTCGGTCTGGGGGGTCAGTGCCAAATAATTAAGAGGGGTCAGGGGATGATTTTCTGAAAATGCTAAAACATATTCTTTCATCATTTTGTTGCTTGATAGATCTTAGCAATCTGCTAAATTGCGTAGGAGATTACCCCCCCCCAGGCAGAGCAAAATTGATCGTGTCCACTCCCTTGCTGAATGTTACCGAGGGGACCTTGGCTTTGTGTTGCTGATGGGATTTGAAGCTCAGGGAGACATGCTTAGCCCTGAAATAGCACATCTGCTGTCAGATCAGTGGGTTAGGAAAGTGGTCATGAGACTCCATGCAAAAAGTTTGAGAACAACTGCTATAAATGAGGCAGAACCGGTTTCTGCCAGTAGAGGGTGCCATACCGGGCCGGCAGTGCTGCTCTCGTTGGCTTTGGGGGCTGTGGAGTTCCTGCGGGCGTGCTGTAGGGCTGACGCCATGGCCTTTGTGGCCCCGGGGCCAGAAGGCGGCTTGTCGGTGGTCAGGGGCCCGTCGGGCTCACTGCAGACTGGTAAGCCCAGCATCTGCCTGCTGGGAGGGTAGTGCACGAGCCCCGAACCACAACTTGAGGATTTGGCAGCGCCGTGTGCTGCATCCTGAGATGGGTCTAGACAGGGTAGTCGAGAAATATACAGAAAGTTGGGAAGGGCATCATCAAGGGACACTGGCCACTGTGGAGGAAAAGCAGTTGGACCTTAAAGTCGCTTAACTAGAACATATTCTTATCCAGCTACCCGAACAGTGCTATTTTATTTAAAGCTGTTAGCTTCCGTTTACACGCACCGCTAGGACAGTCTCCCAGCAGGCCCTTGCCTGGGGAGATCAGGTCCATGGCTTTCTGCAGCAGCGCTCTGGAGGGGTCCCCCAGAAGGCTGGCAACGGAGGCCTGTGAGGCAACCTTAAAATAAAGATGCACAAGTTACTAGGGAGGAGTGAGGAGGGAGCAGGAGGACAGCACATTAAACAGGCCCCTGTGCTGACCTTTCCTGTCCAAACAAAGTTGGGGAAGGAGAAACCATCACTCTGCCTGCAACATTAGGGATGGGGGGGGGGGGCTGCCAAGCGGGGAGCATCTTCACAGACACGCTGGGGGGGAGGGAGACACTCACACTGCTGACGGGCTTCTCTTTGATCTGCACCAGCTGCTGCTGGGCCAGCTGCATCTGAAGCAGATTCTGTAGCATCAGACTGTTCCCCAGCAAGGCATTCTGTAGCGAGGAGAGCGTATTCAGTGGGGGGGGGGGGGGGGGGGCCTCGGACATGCCCAGGTGCTGGTGTGCAAATGGGGTGCCACGACACACCATGCTGCTCTCATTTCATTATAGGTCTGACCACCTGATCACCATCCAAATCGCTGACTACGGAAACCTCTCCCCCGCTATACTGGAAACGCGGCCAGCTCACCGACCAGAGGAGCTGGTATTCATAGTCTTCATCGTGACTCTGCAGAACCCAGCTCACTCTTACGGGAGACATGTTATAAACCGGCTCCTCGCCCGAGTTCAGAGACAGGTTTTTTAAAAAATGTAGGAAGAACTTAGCTCAAAGATGGGGAAAATTATACATGCATCAGGCGTGGATGGGATGCATCCATGCAGAAGGGATGCAGATGGGGAATTGGGGGTGTGTCAGACCTCTGCGTGCCGGCACGTTGCTTTGTGTGTGATCCTTTAGGTATCCTTGTTACAACGCATTATGTAAAAAATGCTGCATTATATAATAATGCAACAAAATGTAACAAATTCTCATCACATAATGCAATGTTATTACACAATGCGTTGTCACACTGTGCTTTACGTAATGACACCACATTGTGTAATAACTCGGCAAAATGTAATTTGTAGAATGTATTATGATTTTATATAGCAACATTACCCTATTATTATTACCATCATTTAATCTGTTACATTCTGTCGAGTTACCACATAATGCAACATTATTACATAATGTGTTGTTACAACCCCTCCCTTCTGTGCACATGAAGATCCCAGCCTGCAGTTAGATCTTACATCTTACCTGCTGAACCTTTCCCAACTGGACCAGTGCTGATGTGAACGGAGGCCGCAGAAAGGGCAGGCCTTGTGGCTGTGCGAACTTCCCTGGAGATGGGAATGGGGGGGTAAAACACAGGCAGCGGCACACAGTGAAGGTCAGTGTCATGTCTGCCATCTCTTTAAAAAGAAAGCGAGACGGCAGCGGGCTTCAGAACGACCGAGAAGCGTCTCGTTTAATCAGCTGCTAAGATTAGCAGTGGAATTCCTTAAAGGTATGAGCCGAAAGCCCTTTGATTTCCTGGTCACACCTTCCTTCACTTTGGGATGTGACTCAGCACTCTCGCTAAGTACAGACACACGGCTGGGTGAATCATGTTAGCTCACTGAAGGAACACAAATAACACAAAGAGAGAAGAAACTTTTACATTTTTCTCTAAATAGACCAAACACTAAATATGATATTTGTCTCCAAAGACTAAGAGCAATTTGAGGCACCAGAGACTTCCCGCATACACCCTGTTCTCATAACGGATGGACCGGACTCACTCACCTGTGTGTCTGACCCCGGTCAGGTACGGCCGGAGCAGAACCTGCAGGGCGGCTGGGCTGGGCTCAGGAAGCAGACCTCTCCTGCTATTGGGCATCTGTGGGAACACAGGGAGAAGCCCGCAGACGTCAGCCTACAGGGCAGAGCCAGGGAACACTCACAGACAGCCGTGCCGCACAGTGACAGCGGAGTCACAGACGAGTGTCTGGTTGTCACATCCACCGAAACACGAATCCGAAAATCAGCCTGGTTATTCAGGCTGAACCGGTGGCCTGGCCAGAACCAGAACATTTAGCACGTGTGAATTAATGAGCCATTCGGTTTGGGAAATCAATTTAAGAGCCACTTTGGCTCAATGAGACCTTAAGACTCAGACTTAAGACGATGTCAGTGGCACCTGAGTATGTGGAAACAGCAGGCAGGGACACTTGAACCTCCCTCATTAGGACATCCCTGCAGTCTCGTCCCCCCCATCCTTCGAGAAGAGCAAATCTATGCCCCCCCCCCATCCCCATCGCAGCCCTAATCACATGTGGCAGGCAGAACTGGGAGCACAGTGGATCCTCAGCGCCTTCGGAGTGGAGACAGCGCTCTTGTTGACGAGCATGAGAGCAGGCAGCTAGATGATTTCAAAAATAGTGTGTTTTTCCTGGGTTGCGGGCGGCATTCCGGGACGGACACCAAGCGCGGAGCGTGCATTTAGCACGAAGCGCAATCTCGCTGGCAACGTGTCGGAGGATGTCCATCGCCATCTCGACTATTAACAGACCAGAGACTGGAGTCCTACAGAGTGACATCTTCCACGGCCTAATTAAAGGTCATTCGACTGGAAGAACCTCAAGCCCACTTCGGGATGGTTCACCAGTTACTGGGCTGGCCCGGCACCCCAGGCCACTGCGATGTTGTAGGGAAAGATCCAGTTTCAATCGGTTGCTGTGAAGATGATGTTATTTTTAAAAGATTAATCCCGGCTAATGCCTCATTGTCACAATATGTTGGAGGAGAAGCAGGTGATGGAGAATCACATTACATTCATCTGGTGTTCGAAACTGTTTGGGCAGCCCTGTCCATTCCTATGTGTAATCAGAGAATTTCTGGTGCTGGACATCGCACTGACATCCACCTCCTGCACACTGACCAAAAAAAGCCCCCTCTGGCTTTAGTAAATTTGGAAACTGTAAGCTGAACATATTTTTTATTGTTATCGACGTATCGTCAGCAAGGCCTCTGTCTGCTCTGTAATCTGGCCTCAAATAGCGCCTTGGCCAATTCCTGAAGCAACCAGCAGGAGGAGCCACTCACCACGCCCTGCGCCGCTATCAGAGCAGCCAGGGTGCTCCGGCCGGACGTGCCGGGGGCGCACAAGGACACGCGGATCTCGTGGCCCCCGACCAGCTGCCGGTCCATCTCCATCAGCACATCTTCGGCCTGCTCTGCAGTCTCATACTCCACCACGGCGAATCCCCTCACGGAGCTGCCTTCATCCTGTGCCAGCTTTGAGGAAGAGGAAGCAGGACAGTGGTAGCATAGCATCAGAAACCACAGCCAAGATATGCACTATATTACTCATCTAACAGACACCTATCTCAAATGACTTACAGTAAAGGGGATATAATCTGTGTGCACTCCATGGGATTTAAACTCATGACCCTTGTGTCGTTGCCAACATGCGCTGCTTGAGCAACACGCGTGCACCAACAGCACATACGCAAAGAGGTTTGACGCTATGACAATCAGTGCTGAACTTACTCCCTCTACAAATTGCTTTCCCCCTCCTTTTAGAGCACAATTACACACGGCGCTTATTTGGTTACCAAATCTGGAGGTTTCCCATCATGCATCGGGGCTAACGATGTGCCCGTTTTCAAATTCTGCTGCCGACAGATTGAAGCAACCCTAAGGCCACGTAAACAATGTAACACTCTCCCCTTCCCCACTATATCTGTTTCATTTTACAGACACGCGCTCAAAAAATTTTAGCCATTCATTGTACTAGAGCAGGGTTATTCAACTCACGATCCTCGAAGTCCGAGCACTGCTGGTTTTCTAGCCTTCCTTTACCTGTCAGTCAGGTGAGAAGCCTCTGACTAATCAGAATCAGTAAACAACTACCTGGGAGAACTGAAAACACGGCCTGGATTTGAAATCGAGGTCCAGAGTTGAAGAACCCTGTACTAGAGCCTGGCTACAGATCCACTGTGAGGCTAATCCAGTGAGAAACTGAAAATACAGTGTGGGATGTGAGATCCATCCATGACTCATTCTGAAATACCGCGGTATAGAAGAGGAATGGTTTTTGTTCACTACAAGTATGGGAGTTGTTTTTGTTTCCCGTTGTTTGGCTGCTAAAAAACACACTTCCTGCATAGTTGTTACTGCTTAGTTTAATTCATTGTCATGTGCAGACTGTTCAATTCAATATTGTTATCATATTACTCACACATACATATACAGATGAAGAGCAAGTTGGCCTGACCCAAATCGCGACTGTTTTGCTTTATTTTGTATTCAATAAATCCCCCTCATTCAAAGGACCATAAATACAGACAAGATCAATTTGGAAAAGAAATACCTGAGCAAGGTGGACATCATAGAGCATTTATCTTAACCCTTATTAAGATTTAGTATAGTCTCGGAGAAATTAAAGTTAAGCAGACATTATGCAGCAGTAGCATAACATACTCAAAGAAATATTTCCTTTAAGCAATCATTCTGTAACATTACAGCATTATTTAAAGCACAAATTCATTGGCAGATGGTGCTGTTCGTCCTTATATCCAATACAATAAACAACTATTAAATAAGTTTTTAAATAGTGCACATTATCGATTAAAAGGGATACTTCCAGTCCATCAGTGGACACGCCTCACAGTGGATGTGCAGCCAGCCCCTTCTCGTTCATTACCATGGTCAGGCAGCAGGGGGAATAGTAGTTAGCATCTCAAATAACAGAAAGGAAGTTTAATATGGGGGCACCAAAAGAACCCTGCTAGACCCTCGCTTTCTGTGTCCGAACAGCTTATGCACCAAGTCTTTTTCCTGAGAATGCTCCAACCCCATAACGACGACGTAAACAGGCCTTTCAGGCACAGATTTCTTGGCTTGGCTCACTGTTGTGTCCCTTCAGCCTATAAACAGGTCTGCACATGGCACATGAAACATAAATAATCTCAACAGCTTGTTATTCAGTGTGAGCACTTTTACTAGGTGCTATCAGTTACCACTTTTACCCAAAAGAGGGGATTCTGGCTCAAATTACATGGCAAAACCTAGGGATATGGATAGTACTTTACTTAATAATAATTCTAAGTGAATATGATATTCACAAACTTAAAAGTCTAATCTATAAACCCAAAAGCTATTTAGCATAGTACCAACACAGCTGCTCATGGTTTACATTTTGAATTCGACTATTTGTTCAAGAAAGAGGCAGATGATGTCCGAAATACCAGCATTCGGAGTGATAGTACAGCTAAAATACTGACTGTGTGATTATTGCATTTAAATCAATTAACAGAAATGATGCGGCTTTCCTGTGAAAATAATCAACAGCCAATTGGGGTTCAGTCATTCCTGGACAAACAAATCCAAAATTACCAGACATCAGTCCTCAGCTAATGACTGATAAACAAGCCCCTGAGAACTGATGTCTGGTAATATCAATAAAGATGAATTAATAATGATCAATCGTTATTCCTTATATTTAGGCCCTAGATCACAAAAGTGTGTGGAAAAGGTCTTAACAGACTTCTCATGGCCCATGACGCTCCTTCTAGTTTACAGTTCTACACTCCTTATTTAGACAAAGTGGCAGCTCTATCGCTGAATGGGAGACTGGAGAAGCCACAATGTGTCTTTTAAGCCTTTCAATAAACTATCCTTTTTGGCTATTTGTGCGCGAATTTCTCGACAGTTAATTGGCATCACAAAAAGAACTGAGATACCAAGCGGTTTGAGGATCTGGGCCTTCCCCGGAGATTCCCAACGGCAGGTCACACCTGTAAAGGAACGCCTTTTTAACAGGCTTCCCAGCTAGTGTATCTGCCCATAGGCTGCTCCGGTGATGGGGGCCCTGGGTGAGCTGGTGACAAAGGCCTCTTTTTGCAGAATAGTTTTTGAGAGAATGAACAGCATTTTGGGGAAGCAGGTTCCAAAAAGGTTTGGGTGGAACTCGAAGACTTGTTGGAACTGTGGAAATTATGTTTGAGAAGAGGTGTTGAGTTTCCTTAGTTTGAATAGTGGAAGGACTAGAATTAGACCTGAACTGAGCACACTGAGGATCAATATTGCCAACTTAATGTTACTCTGCCCACCAGGGGATTTGAACCAGCAACCATCCAATCATGAACATGAAGTCCTAACCTGCACAGTCACATACCACCCCAGGATGGGATTCAGCAGAAGGTGCGTTAAAGCCCCTCCTTTTGCACATGGAAAATGGGTTAAAGTCCCACTTGAGATTTCAGAAGCCAGTAGGAATTCCATTTAATGGATAAGGCTGCTTCTCAACTTCTGTGTTTGAAACAAAGGGGAAAACTCCAGATTGAATCTGTTGCGTGTGTGTTGTGTGGAGACTGAGTGTCTTTCCCCAGGTCATGCATTCCTGTCCTTTCAACAGAGAGGTCAGTTGAAGTGAGTAAGAGACAGAGTGCTGGAAAGGAGACAGGGAAAGTAAGAGATGAAACTAAACTGGCAAGGGGTGCAGTGGGACTACAGCCAGACCTAATAAAGGAGGAGGGAGATGCACCAAAGCACAATGAGGAGGAAGATCTCTTTCTGGCGGCCATTTTGGCTCACAGACCACCTCCTGCAACGCTTCAGTTGCAGGACGTGTACCAATAGTGCAGAGATCAGCCACACAGTAGTTACCTGTGCAAAGGCCATTCCAGACAGGCAAGGGGAATAGACAGCTCCATCAATGCCAACGTGGAAGTCACGTAAAAGAACGAGGCACCTGTCCTAAGCAAAGAATTCATGCAGCAAATCTGGCAGCGATCTTAAGTCAGGCGGCGAGAGTGACAGCAGCGCTGACAGCAATCTGGGTGAATCACGGAAACATGGCAGCCGCCCGGAAGCCCTGAAAAAGGGCAGGACAGCCACCAAAATGCTGCCACAGCGTGAGTTTTCTGGTCCGGGGGAAGGGAGCTACAGTGTGCACATCGTCCTTGGACACCTTCGCAGTTAAGGGACATAGCGGCGTGGAGCGGCGGGGGATCTTAAAACGGACCCGGCACACTTTCAGAAATATCTGAGCGCAGCTGAGTGGCCAAAATCCCGCTTGGGGAGATACAAACATACTGCTAGACTGAGCTCGGATCTGCAGGGAAGCAGGCCGTGCTGAATGTGTGGCTGCATGTGTGGTCAGCCTGACGAGCTCCCGACTGCCCTTGTTACTGCTTATTTCGAGCGCAATGCAGCGACATGACCAGGATGCCATACTGGGGTGGGCATTGGGTTATCTTGGCTGGGCACCAGCGTTTGATTTTATCAATGGTCTTGTGGGGGCTGGGAATGGCAAAAGGTTGTCAATTTGGATGACAACTCGGGAGGGGGTGTCGACGGATGATTCTATTAAATCACTATTGATTGGCTACATTTGGTGTGTGTCTGCTGGGTGGGCAATCTGTTTGGCTGGCCCACACATGGCCACGCCCCTGGCTGAAATCTCTCTTATGATAGGTGGGCACTAGAGTTTACTGGGCAAGACTGCGCCTCTCCGCTACGTTTCTCTTCTGTTACTTTCCTTCTGAGCCTCTCACCACACTGTCTTCAGTCTGCTGGCTACTTTGCGAGCGAATTCTTCAACATCAAGACTCCTGCTGTTAACCACAGTCTGTGACTGTTTCACAAGCAGCCGCTGTG